AGAGTAACAAGAGTTATAAAGAGTTATTATAGGTTTTAGGACCCCAAAATCACATCCCCCAGAGTCTCAGAAATGAGCGCCTGTCAGCTCTAGGTTAAAGTATGATTTTAGTCCTTTTGCACTTTACATTAAAATATAAAACTTTCAGCCTTTAGATTCTGTTTTCAAAGAGATATTTCATAATACAATGGAATGAGAACAAAAAATGTTTTGACAGTCTATCAGGAATTCAGTTAAAGTTGTAATGGTTATTTCTAAAGATATAAACACGGTGCTACATCAGTGACTACATCTGGTCAAAAAATGAACACTTGCACACACAAAATATCAAAGGCTACAAATATATCAGTTCATTGCAAGTTCATTCTAAACATTATTGTTATCCACTGGGGTTCTGTATGCGTTGTTTTAAAGGCACTTTAAATGGTGGATTCAAGATCCCTTCCACCTGCAATGCATGAAAAAAATGTCAATGTACATTCTAATTGAAAATGTAGCATAGAAATACGGTTTGGGTAAAGCTTTCCAAACCCAGGTATACAATAAAAACTTGGAAACCTGAGTTAGGTTTATCAAATATCAGGATACAATAATAACTCTACACCTAATCACTGACATCAGAATCAAAGTATAGATAGACATTCAGTGAGGGCTAACATACAGATTATTGGAATTAGTGATGAGCCAAAAGAAGCAGGGTTTGGTTCACAGTACGTGAATCCAAACCCTTAAAGTGAATGGTAGCTGATTCTTTAAACTCAAATCTGCCTATTTTCAAAGCTAATAGGCAAGGAATTGTCAAACAAAGGCCATGAGGAGCTGAACACTGCGCTGGGGGACTTGTAATAATGCAAAAACAATTTTACTAATGCAAAGATGCTAAAATCCCTATATAGCATTCTTGGGGATGCTCTAAACCCTAACACAGAGCAGGTACACACAAAAAGGAGGAGTGTGTTGTACTAGGGATAAATACCTCAGAATGCTGAGATACTCTTGCTTAAGAAAGGTTGCAGAGGAGCTAGGTAGAAATTGTCATTTGGACCTTGGAAGAGGTACTGTGCCCAGAGGTTCAGGTATTTTTGCTTACTTACAGAGGGATATAAGTCAGATTGAGGTGCAAGGAAACAATGTGACAGATTTATCTGCCTGTCCTCTGTCCAACAGCATCTATTTTAGCAGTCACTCTCTGATTCAGTAAATTTGTCCTACATTGTCCTACATTTTTGGGTATCTTGCACCCTTACTCCCTTCTCCTGATTTTGAGTACTGTAATAAATAGTAAAAAGAACCTAGTGACTGGAGTTTGATCATTATCAGAAGTTTCTTAGTGAACTGTTGGTTCCAGATATATACTAGGGGGGGTACAACTGGGGGAATCAAAGGTGGAGAAGGATCTGGGAGTTTTGGTAGATCACAAGCTTAATAATGGCATGCAATGCCAAGCTGCGGTTTCTAAAGCGAGCAAAATCCTCTCTTGTATTGAAAAAGGTATAGACTCCAGAGAGAGAGATATCATATTACCCCGGTACAAGTCATTAGGAATACCTCATCTGGAATATGCAGTTCAGTTTTGGGCACCAACTCACAAAAAGAACATTGAGGAACTGGAGAAAGTACAGAGAAGGGCAGCCAAACTAATAAGAGACATGGAGGAGCTCAGCTATGAGGAAAGATTAGAGGAACTGAATTTATTCTCGCTTGAGAAGAGGAGATTAAGGGGGGATATGATCAACATGTATAAATACATCAGTGGTTCATATAGTGAACTCGGTGTAGAGCTATTCACCCTGAGGTCATCACAGAGGACAAGGGGGCACTCTTTACGTCTGGAGGAAAAGAAATTTAATCTCCAAATAGGGAAAGGTTTCTTCATAGTAAGAGCTGTGAAAATGTGGAATAGACTCCCTCAAGAGTTGGTTCTGGCCAGCTCAGTTGATTTCTTTAAAAAAGGCCTGGATTCTTTCTTAGATACACAGAATATAACTGGATACTAATATTTATAGGTAAAGTTGATCCAGGAAATATCCGATTGCCTCTCTGGGGATCAGGAAGGAATTTTTTTCCCTGCAGGAGCAAATTGGATCATGCTTTGCTGGGTTATTTTTGCCTTCCTCTGGATCAACTGTGGTATACAGTATATAGGATTATAACTTTTTTTTTTTTTTTTAATGGTTGAACTGGATGGACTTTTGTCTTTTTTGAGCCAGACTAACTATGTAACTATGTAATTAAGATACAGAACAGATAGCTATGGGACAGTTTACCAGCAAGTCCCTGCAGAGGCAATGTCACCTAATACAATGTAGTAGTTAACAAGCTTACATATTTTTTTCAAACCTGAAGTATTTCTTTAAGAAAGGAAAAAAAAAAAAAATGGAAACGAATATATAAATACCACTCTCCAAATCAAATTAGCTTGTTAGGGTCAGCCTTTACGTTTTTGTATTATATTTTATTGTCTCTGTGATAGGATAAGTTATTGCTCTTTGCACTGAAAATAGTGTATGTGGGGCTTTTTATGGGACATGTGTTTTGGATTTGAACTCTTGTTCATTATTCTTAATTCTGACAATGAATACCATGTCTATGGCTTTATTATTACTTGCTAGCACACACAATCTGCTGAACTTCTGCCACTTTGTCTGATTATATTGTCACTGAGATGTATAAGTCGGAATGGAAAGCTCTTTATAATTTAGCAGCATTTGCCAGAGCTTCACTTTGAAATATAACCTTTCATTTTAATGGCAATGCGCTGACCGATAAAGCCTGAACATTTCAGCTTAATCTCTGAGCAAGAAAGGTTCTATTGTCTGTTCTGCTTGTACAAAGAAAATTGACAATGACAGTATATTGGCACATTCTGCAAGGTTAAAACAATCTCGTTGTTATTACAAGTGTTTAAATGTATTAATAAAAAGGGAAACAATGCAATTTCTCAAATATTCTTTTGAAGAATCACAGCGGCAGCTTAATGCTACACATTTTTATCTCTTTTCTAACACTTGCAGGGGACTTCAGTCAGCAATTTTTCTGAAACTGATATACTGTTATTCTGACTCAAAGGGATTCTGAGTTCTCCCACCCTGGTGACCTTAATCGTGAGGCCTTTTCCACAAATAAAAGGCAGGGGGAAATTGCTATTGCTGTTTTCTTCTTTTAAAGTACATTGTAGTCAAATTTGATATTTAACATGGCAATACACTCACCGACCACTTTATTAGATACACCTTGCTAGTGTCAAGGAAATATCCCCATAACAATTACACCACCAGCCAGAACCGTTGGTACAAGGCAGGAAAGAAGAATAGGATCCATGCTTTTATGTTGTTTACACAAAAGTCTGATCCTACCATCTGAATGTCGCAGTTGAAATTGAATGCCCATTCTCCTCTGACCTCTGACATCAACAAGGCATTTTCTTCCACAAAACGCCCACTCACTGCATATTTTCTCTTTTTTGGATCCTTCTCTGTAAACCCTAGAGATGGTTTTGTGTGAAAATCCCAGTAGATCAGCAGTTTTTGAAATACTCAAACCAGCCCATCTGGCACCAACAACCATGCCATGTTCAGTCACTTAAATACCCTTTCTTCCCCATTATGATGCTCAGTTTGAACTTCAGCAAGTCGTCTTCACCACATCTAGATGCCTTAATGCAATGAGTTGCTGCCATGTGATTGGCTGATTAACAATTTGTGTTACCAAGCAATTGAACAAGTGCACATAATTAAGTTGCCGATGAGTATATATTAAATTAACACATCCAAGCTGCCCAGTGCTTTTATATTTATCCTGCATGAGATGACCAAAAGTACTAAGTCAAGGTTCAACCTAGATCAGCTGATTTGCTCAGGGTGTAGTTTCAAACACTTGCAGTTCGTGTAGCCTTTCATCAAATTTTTCACATTGGGGTGACAATCAAAAATGATTAATCTTCTAATGCTCCTTCACTGTTCAATCACGGGCTGGGATCAGAGAAGTGCAAAAACATACACAGGAGGGCGCAAATGCCTAGTGTATTACCCCCATACAACTTTAATAAATCCCAAAAATGATTCCATACTAACAAACATGAAAAACAACAGGCATGTCACATATCAACCCCAACTATAGGCTATGTTGGAAGGCTGACATGTTTCGGGGGACATTCCCCCTTCCTCAGTGCTAAACCAACCACATGCAATGCTACAGCTTAAATGGTGGTGGAATCAGAGAGGTGACCCAACTTTATTGCTTAAATTGCTCTCAGCTCTAAATTTCAGTGTAGCAAAGAGAAAGTCCATGTGCCACACATTTTAACCTGTGTGGAAGGATTGGCTTCAGCTTGGGCCCCAAGAAAAAATGAAATATAGTGCAGTCTACCAGTCTTTACATGTGGTGACTGCATTAAGTCATTAAGTCATCCAAAGAAACAGATGCTCACCGAAAATGTATTTTTCCAAATTTGTTTATTCCACTGACAACACACTCTGAACATCCACCAGAAGCCATGCCCCTAATGCATTTCATACTTTGATAAATCTTTGTGTTGGGTGAAACACATTAGGATAGTGCCTTCCAGAATGAGTTCACAGCATGCTATCAATGAAATAATCCAAATTTTTACATGTCTTTGGTGTGTGACAGCTTCTTGGGATGGCTCAGTGCAGAGGAGAGTGAGGGGACGCTCTTTGGCCCAAAAACCCGCTAGTATGCACAGGATCGCAGGGGATTCAGGCTGCTTGTGAGCAGGGATGGCGACTGCATTAGTTTCCTTATTTCATGCTCTGGTATATATTTTCACCTGCCAATTCTGCCAATAACACACTGTCCTAGTATCAAGAGTTAGAGCTCAAGTACACTGCAGCTGATAAACTCACGTTTAGGAGCTGTTCAGCTGGGGTTTTTTTTTTAGCAGCCCCTGAACTCACCCTAATGTTTTCCTATGTGTCCATGTACACATCTTTGTTTACAGTCATTTACAGGCATTTGAGTTTACATTCGTTTTTTTGAATGCAGAAAACTTGCGTTCAGCAGTCGATTCTATCAGTGTTTCAAATGCAAAATGCTTGTAAACGCTTGTAAATGCAGCAAATCACGTTTACAAGCCTTTGTGTTTAAATTTTTTTTAAACTCTTCCAGTTCCCTATGCTGTCCAGAGCCTTTTTTTCATCATGAAAAATGCATGCAAACATTTTCAAGGTACTCAGATGGACAAAACACTGAACACAGGATGTTACTACCAAGCTTGTCACACATTGTAATGACCGCTTCACACCTCAGACCTCTCCCACCCTTGGAAACAAAAGATATGTTAATGACCATTCACACCTCAAATTCCTCTTGAAGACCCCCTGCCAGGTGACCTTAATGACTCTCCACCAGATACCTTTCCCACCCTTGGAAACAAAAGATATGCTAATGACCATTCACACCTCAAATTCCTCATGAAGACCCCCTGCCAGGTGACCTTAATGACTCTCTCCACCAGACACCTTTCCCACCCTTGGAAACAAAAGAAACGTTATTGAGCAACTCACACCTAGCTAATGTCAACACATACTACTGTCTCCGCTTCTACTCTTGTATGTCTCTGAAACAGTCCGAAATAATTAAAAATTTATCATTTTTCAGTGCATTCTGGGCATTTGGGAGGTGCTCCTGTGCTTATCTTTAACCACTTCCAGTCCGGACACTTTTACCCCCTTCCTGTCCAGGCCAATTTTCAGCTTTCAGTGCTATCACATTTTGAATGACAATTGCGCGGTCATGCAACACTGTACCTATATAATTTTTTTAGTTTTTTTTGAGACAGATAAAGCTTTATTTTGGTGGTATTTATTCATCACTGGGATTTTTATAAATAGTATTTCATCATGAATCTTGGCCAAAATTTATTCCATTATCTTTTTAGTAAAAAACAAAATAACCCAAATTAGTTTATAACCAAAAATTATAATTTTTAAACATTTTTTTTTACATTTTTAAATTTTTTTTATATTATTATTTATGTTTTTTTTTTTACATACTGTCATCCTAGCAGTACATTGTCACCATGGTGACACTGTACTACTTGTGGGTGGTGATGAAGATTTTTTTTTTTTTTTTACACTGATTGCATTAACACCCATAAAGACTGTAAAAGCAATAATTTCTCCTTCTCTCTGGCTGTATTCTTGCAGCCATTGAGAACTACTGTGTGAGCTGTGATTGGTCACAGCTTGACACATGGTTCAAGGCTGTTGTGAATAGCCTTGTACCATGTGACCTCTGTGATCATTCATAGATTTCACACGTAGTAAGCAATGATGTCACAAGTGACATCTTGCTTACTACTCTGCATGTGATCACCGATTGGCCAATCAGTGATCACATAATTTCCTTGCTGCGCGCTCCCAGGGAGCGTGCACAAGCAGGGTGCGTGGAGGCCGTTTATAAACAGCCACCCGACCCTGCACTGCCACCGTCCGGCCGTTTATATACATGGGCCGGACAGGAAGTGGTTAAAAAACGCTTCTAAACTACACATGCACATATATGTGTTATGCAAGCGCGGCTAAACAGACGTTTTTTAACCTACGTTTTCCAGCAGTCAGTTTCCATCGTTCAGATGTGTCCTGTGTACATGGGGCCTTAATATTTATAAAACTTTCAAAAGTATGTTTAACGGACCAAAAGAGACAACTACTTCTGTCTCTCAGGACTGTGAAAATCTTAGAGATTAACCACTTGTCCTCCAGAGGATTTACCACCCTTCCTGACCAGGCCATTTTTTGTGTTACGGCGCTGTGTTACATTAGCTGACAATTGTGCAGTCATGCAACGCTGCATCCAAATTAAATTTACTTCCTTTTTTCCCATAAATTCAGCTTTCTTTTGGTGGTAATTGATCGCCTTTGCGTTTTTAATTTTTTGCGCTCTAAAAAAGACCAACAATTTTGAGAAAAAAACAATATTTGTGACTTTTTGCTATTAAACATGTATAGTAAAGTAATTTAAAAAATCAAACTTCATCATAAATTTAGGCCAAAATGTATTCTGCTACATGTCTTTGCCAAGCAAAATTCCAATATGTATAAATAAATTGGTTTACGTGAAAGTTATAGCGTTTACAAAGGTACAATATATATACTGGGCTTTTTTTAATACAAATTTTTTATTAGTAATGGCAGCGATCAGTGACTTATAGTGGGACTGCGGGACTGCAGCGGGCATTCTGACACTGGGGGGAAATGACTTGGTGTCACTGACATCCCCAGTGACACCAATACAGTGATCAGTGCCAGTAAAAAGCACTGATACTGTACCAATGGCACTGGGCATGAAGGGGTTAACATGTGGGGTGATCAAAGAGTTACCTGTGGTTTACATGATGTTCTGTGTTTGTGCTTCACTGTAAGCCATGCAAAGCAGTGTGCAGGAGCTGACAGGAGGGAGAACTGTTTTGTTTACTAACAGTTCTCCCACCTATCGGAGATCCTCGGCAATCATCGGGCGCTGGTGAGTAATTACTGGCTGGGACCCGGTGATTGACAGCCGCGGGCACAAATGATGGTGTGGGTAGGGCCTCGCACTCGCTCCCTACCTAGAAATTTAAACTCATGTATGTATATATACGTAATTGTGTGCACCGCTGCCGCCCTGTAGCAGTATTTCTGCTATGGGGCGGCGCTAAATAGGTTAATAGAGAAAATAGAAATCCTTTATAAGTAAAATAAGTCTCATATAAGTACTATATTCAACTGTGCATTTAAGTGTTTGTCTGGAGCATATAAAATCAAAAGTGGAATCGCTTTAAATAAAAAATGATTTGCATACCTCTAATCCTCACTATGTGATGGGTGAAGAGCACCTAAAACAATGTCGTATGATTTGATGGTTATGACCCAACCTTTTAAAGTAACTGGAAACAATACAGTCTTTTTCAAGGGTTTAGCAATAAAGAGCCATTAAGATGTATGACTCATGGGGGTTTATTTACTAAAACTGCAGAGTGCAAAATCTGGTGCAGCTGTGCATGGTAGCCAATCAGCTTCTAACTTCAGCTTGTTCAATTAAGCTTTGACAAAAAACCTGGAAGCTGATTGGATTCTATGCAGAGCTGCTCCAGATTTTGCACTCTCAAGTTTTAGTAAACCTCCCCTAGGTGTAGGACACTCCTCACCAGCCTCATGCCACTTTGCTTACAGATCACTACCCAGATTGGTCTCCAGGAGTTGAACAGACTAGGATTTCCATATTAAGCTTATAGCTACATGGAGTTTCATCCCTATGCAAGTGTTCATAGTGGTCATTAACCGATTCCCCTCCGCCCTATAGCAGAAGTACTGCTACAAGGCGATAGGGACTGCGCAAAATCACGTATATATACATAATTTGTATTTCAGGGGGCCATTGGTGGCTATGGATGTCAATCACTGGGTCCCAGCCGGAGATTCCCAACCACCACCCAGCGATCGCCAATTAACACTGACGGGGAGAGACCTGTGCGTAAACAACACAGGTTTCTCTCCTGCCAGCAAGAACATGCTACTGTGTATTTCTCTGCACCATAGAGAAATAAAGAGCAGCATGTTCCCCTAGTAAAACTCACAAAGCACATTATGTAAAACAGCACACAGTTAACCCTTTGATCGCTCCAGATGTTAACTCCTTCCTGCCCAGTGTCATTAGTACAAAGTCAGTGCTTTTTATTAGCACTGATCACTATATTAGTGTCACTCGGGATGTCAGTGGCAGTAAGTCAGTTCCCCACAGTGTCAGATTGCCTTCCATAGTTCTATAAGTCACTGATCGCCGCCATTACTAGTATAAAAACAAAAATTCCAGTATCTATACCATCATTTATAAACGCTATAACTTTCACATAAACCAATTAATTTACACGTATTGGGATTTTGTTTAGCAGAGACATGTAGCAGAATACATTTTGGACTAAATTTAAGACATTTTATTTTTTTATTGTTTTACTGATATGTTTTATAGCCAAAAGTCAAAAATATTGTTTTTTTTTCAAAATTTTAATTTTTTGTTATAGCGCAAAAAAAATAAAAAACGTACAGGTGATCAAAGTGGGCAAAAAATGATATAAATTTGATTTCTGTACAGCGTTGCATGACTGCATAATTGTCAGTTAAAGTAGCACAGCGCCGTATTGCAAAAAATGGCCTGGTCAGGAAAGGGGGTAAATCCTCTGGAGGGCAGGTTGTTTAATAAACTACAATCTTTGTTGTCTTTGGTTCCTCTTGAAAATAGCAGATACAGTATGTATACAGGAAGAAAGTTCTGGAAAGTAAGTATTTGACTACAATAGCAGAGGCTGGGTGGCCTTGAAACATAATTCATAAACAATGATGACAATACTACAGAAGATACAAAGATGTTACTTGTTATACATCCCAGAAAGAGTTAACTTCCTCTTTTCTTTAGGAGAATTAAAGTGGTTCTAAATATTTTTTTTTACCTTAATACATTCTTTGCATTGAGATAAAAAACCTTCTGGGTGCAGCTCCCCATTAGCCCCCCTTTTACTTGCCTGAGCCCCGTCTCTATTCAAGCAATGTGCATGAGAGTCACAGCTCTCCCAGGTCTGTCTCTCCTCATTGGCTCGCACATCAGTGAGAGCCAATGGTTCCTGTTCCTGCTACTGTCAATCACAACCAGTGAGTAAATGAGGAGAGAGCGGGGGACGGGAATGACCTGCAGTAGGCTTGCTACTGGGGGCACTCGGCAGGGGGGGGGAGCTATTACCCCCAACGGGGGACTGAAAAAGAAGGGGCTTGGGGCTGCTCTGTTCAAAACCGTGGCACAGAGAAGGTATGTATGACATTTATTTAATATTTATTTGTTTTTAAATTTCAACCTTTGGAATCACTTTAAAGGAGAAGTACAGCCAAAGCTTGTTTGTTCTGCACTCCTGTGACCCGTGTTCAGCCAACAGCGGGCTAAAGTCTGCTTTCAGCTGATGACACTCAGCCACTTCAAGCTGGGGAAAGATCATGCATGATTCATGCCATATGCTCGGGATTCACCCAGGAGCCTGGACCAGAGCTGCTAAGCGCACAAGCCAGTCACTCCTGCCCCTTCCACAGCCCAGTGCTCCAGTGAGCGCTGGGGGGCTGCAGAGCCGTGACTGACAGTCACCATTCTCTGCTCTGAGCAGTAGGGAGAACTGAGCAATTTTTTTTATCTACATGGATATCTTTGAATATCGTAAATCCTTAGTGCTGAACACTAATGACACCTTTGTTGATACAGTTGGACCCCGAGATGAGCTGGGGGATACATTTATGAGGCTTAAAAATCTGGTTACATCAGAAATACACACATTGGGATATTGCCTTCTTG